GAGACACTGCTAATGTCGCCCAAGGGCGCGCATCCCTTGTACTCTCCAGTATCCACACCACCACTTTTTTCCGTTCCCTGTTTCATACACACTCCACTCCCTTTTTGACCGCCCTTCTCCTCTGTTGTTGTTTTGAATGCATGCCACCAAGGCGGATTCTGTCATTACTCTCCTGCCAGCTACCATCCGCTTCACCTAATACCGTTCCGGTACCTCCCGTTCCACCATCTCCTGCCGTTTACACCCTCCCTGCTCGCTGTCCCCCTCCTCCTAACCGTCCTTCGTCTGCTTGGTTACAGCATCCCATGCTCACACCATTTATGACATATCTAACATGTTCTCCCATTCTCGCCCTCCCCGTCCCTCTCCCTGTTTTCCCACACATACTAGCGGCTGTGCAGAGGCGGTGTGATGGTGGAAGACAGTGCCGGTCTGCAGTATAGGGCATTCACGCTCCTTTACTCATGGGTGGCGGATCACCCGGAGTCCTCTAAGATCACTTGTACGATGGCATGCAACTCTGGGCATCCGTGCTCGTTGTGCTTGGTGGAAAAGGAGCGATTGGATGAGATGAAATTTGAGTTGACTCAACAGCCTCCTGATAAGAAGCGCCTGGATGAACAGGATGACACCACTGTCCTCGGAAATGACAAGGGTCAGAAGGAATCCGCGACAACCCAAAAGAACCAGGAAGACGCCATTGTCCTCAGACTTGTCAAGGGTCAGAAGGATGCTTACAAGGAGATGGACGACGCGAAAACCAAAAAGAAGCTAAAGGCGGTGAAGAAGTCCTCTACACACTTCGTGAAGGTGCGCTTGTTCTGCGTGCTTCGTAGCGGTTCACACCTGGTTTCCCTCCATATCCACCATGTACTGTGGTGGCTAATATGCTTGAAAACCTAATCCAATCTGCGGCTTGCTGTTCGTATTTATTACCCTGACCCGTCATAGTGACTCTGTGTCCTTGACCCCCAATGCAGAGCCTTTTGTGGGACTGGGAATTTGCAAAAACTCTCTGGGGCAACACGTACCTCGCTGTCCCCCCGGACATCATGCACATCTGGGAGCAGGGCATATGGCTGCATGCCATGAAGTGCCTTGTGAAGAAGCTGACTCCACAGGAACGGAAGATTCTTCTGGAGTGCTTGCTTCCCCCTCCCTGCTTCATGCTACTCCCCTCCGTGCTTGCTTCCCCCTCCCTGCTTCATGCTACTCCCCTCCGTGCTTGCTTCCCCCTCCCTGCTTCATGCTACTCCCCTCCGTGCTTGCTTCCCCCTCCCTGCTTCATGCTACTCCCCTCCGTGCTTGCTTCCCCCTCCCTGCTTCATGCTACTCCCCTCCGTGCTTGCTTCCCCCTCCCTGCTTCATGCTACTCCCCTCCGTGCTTGCTTCCCCCTCCCTGCTTCATGCTACTCCCCTCCGTGCTTGCTTCCCCCTCCCTGCTTCATGCTACTCCCCTCCGTGCTTGCTTCCCCCTCCCTGCTTCATGCTACTCCCCTCCGTGCTTGCTTTCCGCGCCCTGCTGAACTGTTTCTCACGTCTAGGCGATACAAGATCTTGAAGGAGGTCACACCAGCTTCCGTGCTCCGTCTTCCTTCGGCGTGGGCCTACTTCACATCCACTGCCTGCTTTTCAGCTTCAGAGCATCGGGCAATGATGCAGGTCCTGCCCCTCATCATCGATCTCCCAGGACGAGAAGATATTCGCACAGCCATTGTGCTTATGGTCGAGTGGTACAAGGAGTTCATCCGCGCTGAGTACCATACCGATGACTCTCTGAAACGGATGAAAGACGCCACCATCAAGTAATTACTCCGTCTTTTTGGTGGTTTCCCAAGCCATTCAATGCCACATGCACACAGTTTCCTTGTCTCAACCGTACCTTACATGTTCCACCCACCCTCTTTCATAGGCTTGCCTTCTCTGTTCATTTGTTGCCAGCCTTACCATATTTCTCCCAACGCACCATGTCCTCCTCTTTCCCTTCTCTTCATCCAGTCACAATGCACATTACATCCCATTTGTACAATACCGAGCTTGTTGCTCAGCTCCATACCAGCTTCACCTTCATACTCACCTGTTTCTCCATTCCGTGCAAAAATCTCCCAGGCTCCATAGTACGAGTACTCCATGACCTTTGGCTGCACTCCTTCCATCAAGGTTTTGCATGACACATCTTCTCCCTCTGAACTGCATCGCTGTCATTCCATAACCCACCTTCCTGATCCCTCCTTCCGTGTTTCTCTTTTCGCGACTGCTTCCTCACTCCCCCTCCCGCATCCCGTTTCTCCCTTCCCGGCCTGCTTTCCCCCCCCTTAACTGCATGCGCTGTATCTAAATTTTATTCCCAGGATGGTGAAGGCTCTTCGTGTCGCTTTCCCAAAGCAGAAGTCAAAGTGGAAACTTGTTAAGATTCATCTCCTCGTTCACCTCCCATCAACCATACGTCTTCGGGGGATCCCTGCCGAGTACTCGTCGAACTGCTACGAGCACTCCCACAAGACCACTGTGAAGCGTCCTTCACGTGGCACCAACTGGAAGAATGTTGAAGATCGAATTGTCCGGAAACACCTGGAGCATGCGGTAGTTAGACAACTAGCGCGGGAGGCCGGCGGGGACAGCACGTACGAGACCTCGATGAAAGAGGTGAGCTTTACAAATCTGCTCATGCTCTCTCCCCCAGCTCTGTTTCCTTGCTCGGTTCTCATGCTCTCTCCCCCTGCTCTGTTTCCTTGCTTGGTTCTCATGCTCTCTCCCCCTGCTCTGTTTCCTTGCTCGGTTCTCTTGCTCTTTCACTCTGCTCTGTTTCCCTGCTCCCTTCTGTTGCTCTCTGCCCCTGCTCTGTTTTGTGGTTTCCCAATTCTCTTGCTCTCTCCCCTGCTCTGTTTCGCTGCTAGTTTCTCATGCTCTCTCCCCCTGCTCTGTTTCCACTGCTCGGTTCTCATGCTATCCCCCCCTGCTATGTTTCCCTGCACGGTTCTCATGCTCTCCCCCCCTGCTATGTTTCCCTGCACGGTTCTCATGCTCTCCCCCCCTGCTCTGCTTCACTGCTCACTTCTCTTTCTCTCTCCCCGTGCTCTGCTTCCCTGCTTGTTTCTCATACTCTCTCGCCTTCTCTGTTTCCCTGCACGGTTCTCATGCTCTCCCCCCCTGCTATGTTTCCCTGCACGGTTCTCATGCTCTCCCCCCCTGCTCTGCTTCACTGCTCACTTCTCTTTCTCTCTCCCCGTGCTCTGCTTCCCTGCTTGTTTCTCATGCTCTCTCGCCTTCTCTGTTTCCCTGCTAGGTTCTCATGCTCTCTCCCCCTGCTCTGTTTCCATGCTCGGTTCTCATGCTCTCTCCCACTGCTCTGTTCCCAATGGTCATTTCCCCTTCTTTGTGTTCTGCTCTGTCACCCTGCTATGTTCCATGATGTGTCGCCCCTACTCAACGCCCTGTTCTGTTTCCCAGCTCTGTTCCCTGCACTGTTTCCATGCCATGTTCCATTCTGTGTCTGCACTCCTCTGTGCCCTGCGCTGTTCCCTTCACTGGTTCTCTGCTTTGTTCCATTCTGTGTCTGCCCTCCTCTGTGCCCTGCGCTGTTACCTTCACTGGTTCTCTGCTTTGTTCCATTCTATGTCTGCCCTCCTCTGTGCCCTGCGCTGTTACCTTCACTGGTTCTCTGCTTTGTTCCATTCTGTGTCTGCCCTCCTCTGTGCCCTGCGCTGTTACCTTCACTGGTTCTCTGCTTTGTTCCATTCTATGTCTGCCCTCCTCTGTGCCCTGCGCTGTTACCTTCACTGGTTCTCTGCTTTGTTCCATTCTGTGTCTGCCCTCCTCGATGCCCTGCGCTGTTCCCTTCACTGGTTCTCTGCTTTGTTCCATTCTGTGTCTGCCCTCCTCTGTGCCCTGCGCTGTTCCCTTCACTGGTTCTCTGCTTTGTTCCATTCTGTGTCTGCCCTCCTCGATGCCCTGCGCTGTTCCCTTCACTGGTTCTCTGCTTTGTTCCATTCTGTGTCTGCCCTCCTCTGTGCCCTGCGCTGTTACCTTCACTGGTTCTCTGCTTTGTTCCATTCTGTGTCTGCCCTCCTCGATGCCCTGCGCTGTTCCCTTCACTGGTTCTCTGCTTTGTTCCATTCTGTGTCTGCCCTCCTCTGTGCCCTGCACTGTTCCCTTCACTGGTTCTCTGCTTTGTTCCATTTTGTGTCTGCCCTCCTCGATGCCCTGCGCTGTTCCCTTCACTGGTTCTCTGCTTTGTTCCATTCTGTGTCTGCCCTCCTCTGTGCCCTGCGCTGTTACCTTCACTGGTTCTCTGCTTTGTTCCATTCTGTGTCTGCCCTCCTCGATGCCCTGCGCTGTTCCCTTCACTGGTTCTCTGCTTTGTTCCATTCTGTGTGTGCCCTCCTCTGTGCCCTGCGCTGTTCCCTTCTCTGGTTCTCTGCTTTGTTCCATTCTGTGTCTGCCCTCCTCGATGCCCTGCGCTGTTCCCTTCACTGGTTCTCTGCTTTGTTCCATTCTGTGTCTGCCCTCCTCTGTGCCCTGCGCTGTTCCCTTCACTGGTTCTCTGCTTTGTTCCCTTCTGTGTCTGCCCTGCTCTGTGTCATGTTCTGTAAGCCATTCTCTTTGCCCCAATGTCTGGTTCCCTGCTCTCTGCATGAGTTGGCAATCACATTTAGGACCAACGCTAACCGAAGTAATCGATTCCTACCCCCCCATCCCCTTCTTCGTCCCCACAACCTCTGACCCTTTCCCCCACACCCATTCCCCCTCTCCCTGGCCCGCTCCTTCGCCTAAAACCCCGCCTCCATCCGCTATCCCCTGCCCCTCCTCCTCCCTCCAGAAGCACTCACCATTCAACCCTCCCCCTCCCTATACCATCCCTCTCCTCTCCACGGTGACAGGCATGCCTGAAGGGCCGGAGGGTGCTTACGAAGACCCACAAGAAGATGGTCCTGGGGGACATCACCGACTCAGTGTTTCGGAGCTACGTCTTGACTGTTGGCGAACCCGCCATGAGTGCGATGGTTGTGCGCCTCAAACGGGCAGGCATCAACACGCAAGTCTTGCAGGTGCATTCCTGGTCATGGCAGGCCCGCTTCCCCCTCTCCTGCATGCTTTCCACCCACGGCAGCCCCGCTTTCCCCTCTCCTGCATGCTTTCCACCCACGCCAGCCCCGCTTCCCCCTCTCCAAAATGCTTTCCACCCACTCCAGCCCCGCTTCCCCCTCTCCTGCATGCTTTCCACCCACTCCAGCCCCGCTTCCCCCTCTCATGCATGCTTTCCACCCACTCCAGCCCCGCTTCCCCCTCTCATGCATGCTTTCAACCAACGCCAGCCCCGCTTCCCCCTCTCCTGCATGCTTTCCACCCACTCCAGCCCCGCTTCCCCCTCTCATGCATGCTTTCCACCCACGCCAGCCCCGCTTCCCCCTCTCCTGCATGCTTTCCACCCACTACAGCCCCGCTTCCCACTCTCATGCTGCTTTCCACCCACGCCAGCCCCGCTTCCCCCTCTCCTGCATGCTTTCCACCCACGCCAGGCCCGCTTCCCCCTCTCCTGCCTGCTTTCTTCCCACGCCAGCCCCGCTTCCCCCTCTCCTGCATGCTTTCCACCGACGCCAGCCCCGCTTCCCCCTCTCCTGCATGCTTTCCACCAACTCCAGCCCCGCTTCCCCCTCTCCTGCATGCTTTCCACCCACGCCAGCCCCGCTTCCCCCTCTCCTGCATGCTTTCCACCCACGCCAGCCCAGCTTCCCCCTCTCCTGCATGCTTTCCACCCACGCCAGCCCCGCTTTCCCCTCTCCAAAATGCTTTTCCACCCCCTCCAGCCCTTAGCCAATTCCCCCCTTTCGGTGTGCTCTCCATCGCCTCCTTCGCACCCAAAACCCATTTTCTTGGTTCATGCTCGTGGTTTCAGGTGCACACGGCTCTTGCGATTCCGCCCCACGACAAGATGGAGTGGACGTCAAGAGGGCAGTTTGTCAAGGCTAGCCCGGGCGAGAAGAACTTCTCCTCTGTTGCAATCAACCCTGCAGGGAAGGGATCCCCCTGGTACGGCCGTTGTCTTGTCCTGTTTCACTACAGCAGAGATGGTGAGCTGAGGCGCGGAGCATACGTGGAGTATTACACCGAGGACAAGCGACTATGCCCGTCAACAGGATGCAAGCGCCTTCTACCCACAGAGGGCGAGGATAATTTTGCAGTGATTGATGTCGACTGCATTCTCAGTCTCGTGCACATCGTTCCCTCGTGTGAGGACGATGAAGTGAGCCTTCTTAATATGTTCGTTTGGTGAAGACTAGCAAACGTAGAAAACTTTAACGCGTTTTGACTTTGGTAAACATCAAATTGACCCCCGACTACAGATTTTTTAGGTCTTGTTAGAATCTTATAGATGTGAAATTTCCCTCAACTTGTTAAACAAGACTCTTGGAAACACTAGTTACGTAGGGAATTACATCATTTTTGGAAACATGCAAATGTAACAAATACACAAAAGTCTAAACGAGGAATTCTAGGAGAGAACAAATTTCCCGCAATCTGCTCCCACACGAAGAGACTTGCTCGACTATCTGTTAGCCCCGGAACCCTAATGCTGCGCACAGGCAAGAAACAGTTAGGAGCAAACATTCAGAATGTGCCTGGAAAACATCTCGCCGAAGACAAACGTTTTTTAGACTTTCCCCGTACGTTTTTCAAATGATCGTCAAACGTACGATCGGCCGTCGGAATGTCAGATGATTTTCAGACACACGCATTTTTGTGATGGTGCCAAGAGCCCTGCTAGAGCTTCATCCTATCGAGTCTTGTCTAGTTTGCAGCCATTCTCTAAATGCGTCGTTCGTCCGTATCCCCTTGTTCAACTCCCTCTCCGCTCCCCCTTTTCCCCAGACACGTGTGCACTCAAGGCATGTGGAGGCAACGCCACGTGCATCAAGGATAGTGCTGGGGTGGCGTCCTGTGTTTGTCGTGCTGGCTTCGTGCTGCAGGCTGACAAGAAGACGTGCACAGGTAGGCGTGTCACGTGTGCGCTGTGTGCTGCTGTGTGGCCAAAAGACATGCATGAAATGTACTGGGAGAGACGTACGTACGTCTGTGCTGCGATGAAATGCACTGGGAGAGACGAAATGCACTGGGAGAGACGAAATGCACTGGGAGAGACGAAATGCACTGGGAGAGACGAAATGCACTGGGAGAGACGAATTGCACTGGGAGAGACGAAATGCACTGGGAGAGACGAATTGCACTGGGAGAGACGAAATGCACTGGGAGAGACGAATTGCACTGGGAGAGACGAAATGCACTGGGAGAGACGAATTGCACTGGGAGAGACGAACGTCTGTGCTGCAACGCGTGTGCGAAAAGACAGTGATATGGCGTCTCCATCTGTCATTGTCGCATAGGGTATACAGAACAGAGACACGTGTGCAGTCGCTGCTCCCTCTTTCTCTTCCACCTTCCGTGGCAGACACGTGTGTGCTACTGAGGTGTTATTTTTCACAATTTTCAAACGTGGCTTAAATACCCCCCCTCTCCCCCCCTCCCCCCCCCCCCCCCTACCCCCCCACACCCCCCCCCCCCCCCCCCCCCCCCTCACCCCCTGTCTGACAGACACGTGTGTGCTCAAGAGGTGTGGGGGTAACGCCAAGTGTGTGAAGAGCGCTGCAGGAGTGGCGTTCTGTGCGTGTGACACTGGCTTCGTGCTGCAGCCTGATGGCGTCACGTGCACCGGTATGTGCCATGCCATGCCATGCCGTGCCATGCCGTGCCGTGCCTTGTGCAATGTCATTCGGACTGTGCTAGGCCATATTCTGCGCAACAAGAAAAACGTTGGCCATGTAGCTACTCTCGTTTTGATTGATTGATGACGTTGATGAGTCCTTATCTTGTTTTCCTCCCAGCATTATCAGACGAAAATCGACCTTGAAAGAACAAGAGAGATTTATGGCAAAGCTTTCAGATGTACTGCAAATCATAGCCATGCGTTGTGTTTCTTCTCCCTCTCCCCCTCGCAGACGCATGTGCACTCAAGGCGTGTGGTGTAAATGGCACATGCATCAAGGATGGCACTACTGGAGTGGCGTCCTGTGTGTGTGACACTGGCTTCGTGCTGCAGCCTGATGGCATCACATGCACCGGTATGTGCCATGCCTTATGCTGTGCCCTGTGATGTGCCATGCGTTATGCCATGTGCAACACCACACAGTATGTGTTAGGCTAGGCCACGTTGAGTTGGCCTAACGCTCGTGCACGTTCAAATTGACTGTCGCTCTCTCTCCTTTCATTCACGCTGCCTCAGTAGCCATGCGCTGCTGCTGTGATGCCTCTCTCCCACCCCCAGCCATGTGGACTGGATGAGCTGCAGTCGGGAAGTCTCAAAACTCAGTAGCCATGCGCTGCTGCTGTGATGCCTCTCTCCCACCCCCAGCCATGTGGACTGGATGAGCTGCAGTCAGGAAGTCTCAAAACTCAGTAGCCATGCGCTGCTGCTGTGATGCCTCTCTCCCACCCCCCAGACACATGTGCACTCAAGACCTGTGGTGTGAATGGTCGGTGCAACAAAGACAGCACTACTGGAGTGGCGTCCTGCGTGTGTGACACTGGCTTTGTGCTGCAAGCGGATGGCAGGACGTGCACCAGTATGTGCCGCTGTGTGCTTTTTCGTGCTACTATGTGTGTAGGCTTGTATGAGCTTTTGGGCGTGTTGCAGTGCCATTATGTGCTTAGAATTGGCTCGGATGAGCGTGTTGTGCTGAGTCATGCGCATGCTTGATGATAGAGAGCAGAGACAACTTTTCCTGTTCACAAAATATTTTTCCTCGCTCTCTCCCCTCACAGACACATGTGCAATCAAGGCATGCAGGAGTAATGGCGCGTGCATCAAGAACAGCACTACTGGAGCGGCGTCTTGTGTGTGTGACACTGGTTTTGTGCTGGAAGCGGATGGCAGGACGTGCACTGGTATGTGCCGCTGTGTGCAATTTATGCTTGTCTGCGCTGCTTTCTGCTTAGGCTTGTTCGCGTTGGTGTCTGCACTGCTTAGGCTTCGCTTTAATGTGCAAGCTTTGCCGATGGCCTGTGCATGATTGCTGACAAAGGAGAAGAATTCGTCTGTTTACTGCTCCCTTTCCACACTCGCTCGCCTCCCAGACACATGCACACTCAGGGCCTGTGGGGGTAACGGCCGATGCATCAAGGATAGCACAACTGGAGTGGCGTCCTGCGTGTGCAACACTGGCTTCGTGCTGCAGCCTGATGGCAGGACGTGCACTGGTAGGTGCAACTGTGCTGTGCAATGTGACACCCTTATCGCTGCTGTATTCTATGGCTTCTAAGGAATGCATATAAGCGCTGCATTCGCGTCGCAAGTCTGCTTGTTCTGCTTGCAATGGCTCATGTGCCTGGCTCGTTTGTTTCATTCCTCTCCCTCCATCCCTGCTTCAGATACCTGTGCCATCAAGGGCTGCAATGCTGCGGTTACCGATTGCGTGAAGGACGCTGCAGGCGCCGCCTCCTGTGTTTGCAAGACGGGTTACCAGAACGTGTCGGGCACGTGCATGGGTATGTTTCGAACCCTGCATTCCGTAGTTTTCATGTTTGCTTTTCTTGTCTCGTTTCCCACTGGCCACACCAGCTCGGTTTCCACTGTCTTGGCTCGGTGCACTGGCTCGGTTCCCCCACTGCCTCGGTTCCCCGACAGGCTCGGTTCCCCGACAGGCTCGGTTCCCGACTGGCTCGGTCCTGACCTGACTTGCTCGGCTCGCCCTGGCCCCGGCCCCGGTCCTGGCCCCGGCTCGAACCACTTGCTCCATGTCAGATTGTATCAAATTGTCATGACAAGCCAGTTTGGCGTTGCCACTCGTTTGCTCCTCCTGCCTAACATGCACTGCTGCTTTCGGCAATGTACCCCACACACACTGCATTCACCATCTTCTGTTTCTCGTGACGTCTAAAAGATGTACTGTACTTACTGCATGCCACGTGTATGAAGATTGGTTTTGAGACGTCTCAAAACCAATCTTCATACACATGTACCGTACGTACTGCCTGCATGCATGCACCATCTCCTGTCTCGCTCTGTCTGTATGCTCCCCTGTCCCTCACCTCCACAGGGCCTGCCCCGATGGGGGGTCTGCTCCCCACCCCAGGAGCCACCTGCACTGTGCTGACGTACAGCAAAGCACCCTACCCTACGGCCTGTACGCGTGCATGCACCCTCTACTGTCTCACTCTGTATCCTCCTCTTTCTCCCTCACCACCACAGGGTGTCAGCGCCTGCCTCGTGTGGGGTCTGCCCTGCAGGAGCCACCTGCACTGTGGTGTTGTTCAGCAATGTTGCTTACCGCCTGCATGCACCTGGTCTTACTCTCTATGCTCCTCTCCTCTCCGATCTCCCTCACCACCACAGGGCCTGCCTCGTGTGGGGTATGCCCTGCAGGAGCCACCTGCACAGTGGTGCCGTACACCAAAGCCGCCTATTGCGCCTGCCCTCCTGGTTATGGCATGACCGCTGCTGGCTGCGTGCTCGGTATGTCCGCAGGTTAGGTGCTAGCTACCGTGTTTCCACTGGTTTCCTTCTTTGAGGCGCCTCAATGCCGCCTATTGCGCCTGCCCTCCTGGTTATGGCATGACCACTGCTGGCTGCGTGCTCGGTATGTCCGCAGGTTAGGTGCTAGCTACCGTGTTTCCTCTGGTTTCCTCCTTTGAGGCACCTCAAAGCCGCCTACTGCGCCTGCCCTCCTGGTTATGGCATGACCGCTTCTGGCTGCGTGCAAGGTGGGTGGGTATGCAATCAGCAGCTGTTATTGGGTTTATGTAACTGTAGAATCTGGGGTCTTTTGGAGGCGACTGCGTTCAATTCGAAGTGTTACCACTGGTATGTGTTTTTGAGGAGCCTCAACTATTTTTGTAGTAGGCTATGGCATGTTAACTAGCGAGGGGGTGTAGCTCACATGGTAGAGCGATCGCTTCGCATGCGATAGGTAAGGGGATCGATACCCCTCACCTCCACAACCTTCGGTCATTCTCACTTCTGTTGTCCTCCGCCCTTTTTTATGAAGTCCCTCTTCTCTCCTCCCTCCTTTCCCCTTCCAGGCGCCACTCCCACTGTCTCCTCTGCAAGCTTCACCTATTACACGCTCCCAAGCTTCGGCATAACACCCGCCGCCTACACCATGCGCCTCGCCTACAATGGCTGCACCAACCTCACAGCTGCCTCCGCGCCCAGCATCCAGTCATACTGCAATGTGGAACGGGCGCCTGGAGGGGTGGGCGATTGCACTGAGATCCGCCAGTACTACCAGCCGGGGTGTGTTGGAGCGTACAGCCTGTTCCCTGTCACGCCAGGGACCGGCATGAGCACTGGGAGTATTCCGTGAGTCTCTCTCTCAGCCCACTTACCTGCCCAGTGCGTGCCTGTCATCTCTCCACCTTGCCCACTCACTCGAATCGTCCTCCAACTAACCGGGTATCCTCTCTGATTCGGTGTCACCTGAGCTGAGACTCATCTCTGCATGCATACCAAATTTAACGTTCGCACCTTTGCCTGCTCCCATGCCTGTTTTTTTGCGTTCCCATGCAACAGCAACTATCGCGGGTATCCTTTCCGCTCCTTCGCCTGCTCTATCACTGGTGGGTGTTCCTGTGTTGCTGGGTGTTCCTGTGTTGGTGGGTGTTCCTGTGCTGGTGAGTGCTCTTGTGTTGGTGAGTGCCATACCAGCATGTTCCAATGTTTGCCCCTGTCTCAGTTCCTCAGGTAGTGAATCACCTTTTGAGTTGACTAAAGAAAGATCTCACTTACAGATCTGTAACCGCCCACGATTTAATAACTACCCACAATTCGATTACTTCCTGCTGCAGAGGCTTTTTGGAAGTGCCTAAATTATCGCTTACTTCTCATTGTAGAGGTTAAAAAAATCTCAGGTCATGCAGTGCACGTGTCATGCAACCTCCCAATCCACAAAACTCCCTCTGCCTGCCCACACCTCCTCACTCACAGAGAAATGCGCGCCCAACACGTGTGGTGGGAACAGCACGTGCGTGCAGGACAGTGTGGGAGTGGCCTTCTGTGCTTGTAATGCTGGATTCCTTCTGCAGGGCGACGGCAAAACGTGCACTGGTATGTGCATCTGTTGCACCGGAAATGCTAATCAGATGAAGTACAGGGAGAGCCCCTAGGCCCCCTAACCACCTTCCCTCGCCTTTCTCCCTCTCCAGCCCCCTCCTTCCACTGAAAACTAAGGCTTGGTATCCTTTTGGCCATTCCCTTAACCTGAGCCAGGACAGTCACTCACTGTCACTCTTGCTCCCGTTTCTCTTGTCGTTCTTTCTCTGCTCGCCGCGCTCTCTTCCCGTCCCTTTCTTCTGTTTATGGCCTTAATCTTCTGTTTGTATCGCTCCCCTCTTGCCTTAATCTTCTGTTTGTATCTCTCCCCTCTTGCCTTAATCCTCTGTTTGTATCGCTCCCCTCTTGCCTTAATCTTCTGTTTGTATCGTTCCCCTCTTGCCTTAATCTTCTGTTTGTATCGCTCCCCTCTTGCCTTAATCTTCTGTTTGTATCGCTCTCCTCTTGCTTTAATCTTCTGTTTGTATCGCTCCCCTCTTGCCTTAATCTTCTGTTTGTATCGCTCCCCTCTTGCCTTAATCTTCTGTTTGTATCGCGCCCCTCTTGCCTTAATCTTCTGTTTGTATCGCTCCCCTCTTGCCTTAATCTTCTGTTTGTATCGCTCCCCTCTTGCCTTAATCTTCTGTTTGTATCGCTCCCCTCTTGCCTTAATCTTCTGTTTGTATCGCTCCCCTCTTGCCTTAATCTTCTGTTTGTATCGCTCTCCTCTTGCTTTAATCTTCTGTTTGTATCGCTCCCCTCTTGCCGTAATCTTCTGTTTGTATCGCTCCCCTCTTGCCTTAATCTTCTGTTTGTATCGCTCCCCTCTTGCCTTAATCTTCTGTTTGTATCGCTCCCCTCTTGCCTTAATCTTCTGTTTGTATCGCTTCCCTCTTGCCTTAATCTTCTGTTTGTATCGCTCCCCTCTTACCTTAATCTTCTGTTTGTATCTCTCTCCTCTTGCTTTAATCTTCTGTTTGTATCGCCCCCCTCTTGCCTTAATCTTCCGTTTGTATTGTTCCCCTCTTGCCTCGACTCTCAGAGGCGTGTGGGACCAAGATCTGCAATCCCACGACTGACTGTGTGAGGGACGCTGCAGGCGGTGCATCCTGTGTGTGCAAGGCGGGCTATCAGAGCATCTCCGGCAAATGCGTTGGTGCATGCCGTGCCATTGTCATCTTGTCATCAAGCCCCAAAAGAAGGGCCATTCTATTGGCCTTTATCTTTCTAGCCTTGAGCTGATTTGTGGTTACCGCATCATCCTAGTTACATGGTATGTGGCCAGTTCTGTTCTGTTCCTTCCTCTTTGCACATGCTGCTGCATCTTAAGGTGCGCGCACATTGTGTCCTCCACCTTAAACAAGTTGGGAGTCACTTAAACACTGTGTGTTTCACACCACTTCAACCATTTGGGAGCTATTTTCAAGAATTCCGAACGTGCAGCATCCTTTTAAACTGATTCTAGTTGTCTGTCAACACACAGACACCTTTTTATATCTGTGCTGCTCTGTGTTATGAGAATTCTCAAGACACGTGTCGCAGCACCGTGTGTGTTCTAACTTCAACTGCGCGTCTGTTGGCTCACATCATTCCAATTGTGCTGCTCTGTACTGCCCTCGATGCTCCTGCGTGTCCTTCCCTCTGTGATCCGTTACTGTGTTCTTTCTGTGATGTGATGTGATGTGATGTGATGTGATGTGATGTGATGTGATGTGATGTATATGATGTGATGTGATGTGATGTGATGTGATGTGATGTGATGTGATGTGATGTGATGTGATGTGATGTGATGTGATGTGATGTATATGATGTGATGTGATGTGATGTGATGTGATGTGATGTGATGTGATGTGATGTGATGTGATGTGATGTGATGTGATGTGATGTAATGTAACGTGATGTGATGTGATGTAACGTGATGTGATGTGATGTGATGTCTTGTGATGTGCTGTGCCGTGCCGTGCTGTGCTGCGCTGTGCTGTGCTGTGCTGTTCCATGCTGGTGCTGTGTATGTTCTAGGCTGTCTCTCTCTTCCCCACCTCCCACGTCCCCACCTCCCACGTCCCCACCTCCCACTCCCCCACCTCCCCAGGCCCCGCCACATGTGGGAGCTGCCCTGCAGGAGCCACGTGCACTGTTGCTTTCGGCTACATTCCATACTGCATCTGCCCTGCCGGCTATGGCATGACCAGCACTGGCTGCATCAGCGGTAAGCCCCAAGGCTTTTCACTGTGTACTAGAGGTGAGCTTTGAGGCGCCTCAAAACTCACTTTGGTGACATTTGAGTCGACTCAAAAATCACATATAGGTGAGTTTTAAGCCTCAATACTCATCTCAGCTATGGCATGACCACCAGTGCCTGCATCAGCTGTAAGCTCCAGGGCTTTTCACTGTGTACTAGAGGTGAGCTTTGAGGCGCCTCAAAACTCATCCCGGCCATGGCATGACCACCACTGCCTGCATCAGCGGTAAGCCCAGCACCGTCTGCGCGTTCTAGGCATGGCGATTGTTGCTTGCACTGTACGTAACACTGAGGCTGCGCACGCTCTCACTTCATTGTTTTCCCCGCCAACTCCCCTTCCCATCTGTTGAACCCCCTTGTGTTATGCTTCCTCTATCTTCTGCTTGTGCTATCGTTGCCTCGTCCCTGTATATTCTTCCACCACACCTTCTGCGTTCCACCCTCCTCTCCTTTCATCCCCCCCACCTTCTATGACTCCCCACAAACCCACCCTTCTCCCTCCCACCTTACCTTTTTTTCATTCTCATCTCCCCAGCCTTCTATGTCCCCATTGTTAGTGTTGGACCTCAATCTCAACTTCTGTACTTGTACATCATTTACATCCTCGATTAGTGTAGTTTGTGTTGGTTGAGTGTACACACACATCCCAACCCCACCCAAATGTGATCAACCGAAATCCCCAACCCGCCAACTGGAGATTTCAGCCCATCACCTTGGGATTGCCCCCCATTCCCTCTCCATCCATACCTTGCCCATTTCCAGTCTACTTCAGGGCCTTGAGCTCATTACCCAATGTATCAGTTCAAGCTCAACTTCTTGCACCCATACCATGCCATGCTGTCCCATGCTGCTCTGCTTATCTTTGCCCTTGGCCTTTCAGGCGCCACCCCTACCGTCTCCTCCACCAGCATCACCTTCTACGATCAGCCCAGCTACACCATCACGCCCACCACCTTCACCACACGCCTTGACTTCAACGCCTGCACCACCCTCCCTGCCTCGGTGGCTTTGAACGTCTGGTCGACCTGGCGGCTAGACGGGGCTCCTGGAGGGGTGGGGGAGTGTGTGAGTTTGAACCAGTACGAGCAGGAGGGGTGCGCTGGAACGTACAGGTCGTATCCCAGTGCATCGGACAGAAGCAGCATGACCGGGTTGGGTTTTACGTGAGTCTCAGATCGCAAGCAATGCGCGATGTTATATGCACGCATGAGACATGACACATGCGCACACAGGACTTGCACATGTCGTGACATGCACACACACACATACATGCAGCACGACACGTGGCCGTGAAGTGCAGGGAATGCATGCACGACCCCCACCCATGTGTACCATGCATCCCCCACCCCTGTTTTCTCTTCTCCCTGCATGCGTACGTGCAACAGCAAGTATCTCAGGTATCCTTACCGCTCCTTCAGCTGCAATGGTATCGGTGAGTGCTGCTGTGTTGGTGAGAAAACAACAATGCATTCCATGATTCATGTGATCTATGGGGCGGAATATTAATGCTGCTGTGCCTGTGAGTGCTGCTGCTGAGGTGGTGAGAGGTGGTGAGTGCTGCTGATTCGGTGAGTGCTGCTGTGTTGAGGGTGCCACTGAGCTTCATTGTTCGCCCGTAGCTGGTGTCTCAACCTACAGGTAGAAATTTAGAGTTTTTTTTTTTTCATACTTGATTAAAAACATTTCAGTACACAGTTTCCTTCCGCCCTAAATTTTCCAGTATTTTGATGCCCACATTTCTGCGTTGCATGTACTGCAAATGCAAATGGCAGTTCATAAGCCTTCCCTGGCAGGGAATCCCTGTTGCTTGCATTGCGTCGTCATACTCGACTCCCCTTCACTTCCTTTCACATGCCGTCCCCTCACCTACAGACCGATGCGCCAGCAAGATTTGCAGCGAGAACACCACGTGCATTCTAGATAGTGCAGGAGCAGCGGTCTGTGTTTGCAAACCCGGCTTTCTTCCGCAGCCTGATGGCGTGACATGTGCTGGTACGTTCCGATGTCTGTTAATGTCTGCTGCTGTGTTCTGCCTTGTTTTTGGGAGGGTACATACGCAGTTATCTCGGGTGGGCAAAGCAAAGGTTAATCACTTGCCCACAATACAAGCTGGTGAGCCAGCGCATTCACACCTTACTAAGACAGAAAGGTAGCACTTTCAGGGCCTTTTAGTCCCTCTCATTCTTTTTCTCTTCCATTACCCCTCTTCCTCTTTCCACTGCTCTCCCTTTCCCTCTCAGTTACACTTTCCTGTGACTTTTTTCCATGACACTCCCCTCCCAATCTCCTCCCGCAGAGGCGTGTGGGACCAAGATCTGCGATCTCACGACTGACTGTGTGAGAGACTCTGCAGGCGGTGCATCCTGTGTGAGCAAGGCGGGCTATCAGAACAGTACCAGCAACAAGTGCATTGGTATGTGTGTGCGGTGCTGTAACCCTTGAAAGTAAAAGTAACCCGATACTTCATCGTGTGCTGTCACATTCATTCTGTCATTCATTATGTGCTGTGCTGTACCTGACTATCTGTGCCGTGACATGGAATGCTCTGATGTGCTGTGCTGTGCTGTACCGTGGGTTGGCTCCGGTGGGGAATGCTGTGCCCTGTTATGCTGCTGGGTCGTGCTGTGCGGTGAATCCCCTCCCATGGCCCCACCTCCCCATGGCTCCACCTCCCCATGGCCCCACCTCCCCATGGCCCCACCTCCCCAGGCCCCGCCACATGTGGGAGCTGCCCTGCAGGAGCCACGTGCACTGTTGCTTTTGGCTACATTCCATACTGCATCTGCCCTCCCAGCTATGGCATGACCAGCACCGGCTGCGTCAGCGGTAAGCCCAACAACACTTACTGCACTGGCTATTGCCAACCCCTCTCCCTTCTCTTGTACCCGCTTGTGTTAACTTTCCACTAGCAACACCGTTTTCACCCCTGCCATCCTGACTTCCATCGCCCCTTCTGTCCCTTCTTCCATCATGCCGGCTTCTCCGCATGCCCTTGCCCGTGCAGGCGCCACCCCCACCGTCTCCTCCACCAGCATCACCTTCTACGATCAGCCCAACTACACCATCACGCCCACCACCTTCACCACGCGCCTTGACTTCAACGCCTGCACCACCCTCCCTGCCTTGGTTGCCTCGAGAGTGCGATCGTATCTGCGCATAGACGGGGCTCCTGGAGGGCTGGGGGAGTGTGTGGCTCTCAACCAGTACAGCCAGGAGGGGTGTGCTGGAGCGTACACTTCGTATAACGGCACTTCAACACCGACCGGAATCGGTGCCATTGGTTATGTGTAAGTGACGACAACTCGAACCTTGTGCCATCATGACTTGAGCTGAGACCTACATGCTTAGTGCAGCGAATCTTGAATAGTTTTATTCAAGCATGCGTGATAGACGGAGCACATCACATTCTCGTGTATCAGAGCACATCGCATTCTTGACATGGTGGGCGGAGACCTATATGCTTTGTGCAATGGATCTTGAATAGTTTCATTCAAGCATGCGTGACAGACAGAGCACATCACATGCTTGTGTACCAGAGCACATGCGTGATGCATGCATGCCTGGCAGAGTACATGTGCATCGTTCATGTGACAACACGCATAGGCACGCGCATGGCACGGCAGCACCAGCACCGCGCTGCACCCACGAAGATGCACCCGCCCACCCACATGGCGCACGCCTATTGCGCACCCATTGTGCAAACATGCATGCCCAACGCGGACCTGTGCAAACACCTGTTGTATGTGATTGTAATCGGTTGTATCCTTCACTCCCCCTCCTTCCTTTGCATGCCATGTCCCTTAGCTGATTAGATTTTGTGCTCACCACAACGCAGCAACTTACTCACTCCAGTTGCTCCGCTCCCTCACTTCCGCGCTCTTATGTGCTCTGCATTTCTCTTACCCCGTTCTTCTCTTCCTTGATGAATGCATGCATTGATGAACAGTAACTTAACCACGTATCCCTTCCGTTCCTTCAGCTGCTTTGGTATCGGTGAGTGCATTGGCGGGTGTTTGCTCTGTTGGTGGGTGCTGTTGATGGGTGTTTGCTCTGTTGGTGGGTGGTGTTGATGGGTGTTTGCTCTGTTGGTGGGTGGTGTTAATGGGTGTTTGCTCTGTTGGTGGGTGGTGTTGATGGGTGTTTGCTCTGTTGTTGGGTGGTGTTGATGGGTGTTGGCTCTGTTGGTGGGTGGTGTTGATGGGTGTTTGCTCTGTTGGTGGGTGCTGTTGATGGGTGTTTGCTCTGCTGGTGGGTGCTGTTGATGGGTGTTTGCTCTGCTGGTGGGTGGTGTTGATGGGTGTTTGCTCTGTTGGTGGGTGGTGTTGATGGGTGTTTGCTCTGTTTCACATGTTTCACCTACTTATTTTCAATAAAAAAGCACCTGAAAGGCACGTTCACACTTTCCCTCCCTATGCTCACGAGCTGTCTGCATGCTCATACCAGAGTTCCCTTCACACTATGCCCTCCCCTCACTCACAGACAGGTGTGCTAACAAGATCTGTGGGGGCAACGGCACATGTGTTCAGGACAGTGCCGGAGTGCCCACTTGTGTCTGCAACGCTGGCTTTCTTCTGCAGCCCGACGGTGTGAATTGCGCTGGTATGTGTTGCGGTGCATCTGAGCTACTGCATACTGCTATCTGTCATTAAGAGGTATGCATAAGTGGTATGCATAAGCGGTCAACTCGACTGTGTACTGTACTTGTTTACCTTGTTTTGACACGAATTGTTATTTTGTTTCTTTCAATTTTATTTCCCAAAACCCAACCAAGGCAAGTCGAGTAAGACATGCTGAGAAAGAAAAAACCCAACTGTTGCTAGACTTGTTTGTGTTTGAGTTATTCCTCACTCGTCGAGGTTTAATTACTCCTGTGTGCTCATCCTTTTTCGTCTCTTCCCCACCCTCAGTGCCCCTCTCGTTCTTTCTCTCTTCCATGCGCTCTCTCGTCCCTCTTTGTTGCTTCTGTCCCTAAACCTTGTGTCCACTTCACTCCCTTTCATTCTCCTCCCACAGAGGCGTGTGGGACCAAGATCTGCGATCCCACAACTGACTGTGTGAGGGATGCTGCAGGCGGTGCAACCTGTGTGTGCAAGGCGGGCTATCAGAACAATACCAGCAACAAGTGTATCGGTATGTGTCTGTGGCATTCGCAAAAATACAAAAGTGGTTGTGTATTCTCTCCTGTACCGGACAGGTCTCATCCTGTTTTTTTCTGGTACAATTCAGCTCTGTTGTTCACCTTAATGGATGCATCATGTGCTGCCTTACTGCTTGGGTTAGTGTTTGTGGGCTGCCAGGTACTGCAATCTTTTTTACACCTTAAACAAGATATTGTCGCACAGCACTGCCGCTCTGTGCTTCTCCTGTTGCGTTATGCCAGCCTCTGTGCTTGCGTGTGCTCCAACCTGATGTGCCATGCTGTGCTGCTCCATGCCGTGATGTGCTGGGCGGTGCCGTGCAGCTCTTCTCGTCTCACTTCCCCATCTTCCCAGGCCCCGCGGTCTGTGCTCCGACGTGCTGTGCCATATTGTGATGTGCAATGCCATGCTGTGATGTGCCATGCCATGCTGTGATGTGCCATGCCATTATGTTTTTCTTCTTCTCACTCCCCCACCTCCCCAGGCCCCACCACATGTGGGAGCTGCCCTGCAGGGGCCACGTGCACTGTTGCTTTCGGCTACATTCCATACTGCATCTGCCCTGCCGGCTATGGCCTCACCAGCATCGGCTGCATCAGCGGTAAGCCCAACAACACTTATTGCACCCCCCCTCACTCCTTTCCCTGCCAACCCCTCTCCCTTCTCTCGTACCCGCTTGTGTTCACTGTCCACTAACAATACCGTTTACACCCCTGCCATCCTGACTTGTATCGTCCCCTCTGTCTCTTCTTCCACCATGCAGGCTGCTCTGCATGCCTTTGCCCGTCTCCTCTACTAGTATCACCTTCTACAAGCTCTCAATCTTTGGCAAATTACCTTAATGGCGAGTTACAGTCTTTCCTTGACCACCCTTCACGTTCCTCCTCCCCATGTTCCTCTCCCCTTGCCCTTCCAGGTGCCCTGCCCACCGTCTCCTCCACCAGCATCACCTTCTACGATCAGCCCAACTACACCATCACGCCCACCACCTTCACCACACGCCTTGACTTCAACGCCTGCACCACCCTCCCTGCCTTGGTTGCCTCGAGAGTGCGATCGTATCTGCGCATAGACGGGGTTCCTGGAGGGATGGGGGAGTGTGTGGCTCTCAACCAGTACAGCCAGGAGGGGTGTGTTGGAGCGTACACTTCGTATAACGGCATGTCAACACCGACTGGAATGGGTGCTGTGGGTTACGTGTAAGTGACAACAGAAAACGCATGCCTCTTGAGTTGGAATACGACGGGCATGCTTCGTGCAGCAGTTGGTTTTGGATTTGGTTTCATGCATGCCTGAAAGACACAGCACATCGCATGTTCATGTGACAGAGCACATGCGGGATGCATGCGTGACAGAGCACATGCATGTCACATCGCTCATGTAACGCGCAAACTTGCATGCATAGCACGGTATCACCCGCACCACATCCATGCATGTGCAGTATGACACCTGCATTGCACCTGCGCTGCACTCCACACACACACACACAGCGCACGCACAATGTGCACCCACTGTGCAAGCATGCACGCCTAATGCACACCCATTGTGCACTCACGCATTTCCAGTGCGGACCCATTGTGCACCCATGCACGCGCGATGCACCTGTGGTACATAACATCGCATGCTGTCTCTTACAAGTTGCCTCTTGCCCTGCCCCCCCTCTGGTTCCTTCACCCCCCTTTCCCCCCCTACCACATCCCGCTATCGGGTTGTGTGCACCATACCCAGTATCTTACTCAATCTAGTTCCTCTCCTCCCTCCCCCCCCCCTCTCTGATGTTCTATGCCTTTTTCCTACCCCGTTGTTTCTGCATATAACAGTAACTTAACCATGTATCCGTTCCGTTCCTTCAGCTGCTTTGGTATCGGTGAGTGCATTGGCGGGTGTCGGGTGTTGTTGTGTCGGTGGGGGTGTAGACAAGTTTTTTCTTTGTTTCACATGCAGCAATCAGATTCATCTACAGATTTTCAAAATGCACTTGACAGTGACAGTGTATGTATTGTCAGCCCTTTTTTGCCCGCAGCACTAGTTTTGCTCAATGCATTTACTGTACTTGCTGTGCTGTCATCTGCACAATGCAATGAAGTGACAGTGCACACCACACTAGTCTTCTGGTTCAAATTGCTGCGCAACCTTTGCAACCTTCCACACCACATTCTCCTTATGTTCACGAGTTGTTTGCATGTTCATACCCTTTCACACTACCCCCTCCCCTCACTCACACTCACAGAGCGGTGTGCAAACAAGATCTGCGGAGGCAACGGCACGTGTGTTCAGGACAGTGCCGGAGTGCCCACCTGTGTTTGCAATGCTGGCTTTCTTCTGCAGCCCGACGGTGTGACTTGTGCTGGTATGTGTCTCTGTACACTAGGGTGTGCTGCCGCATACTGCTACATGTCAAAAGGGAAGGTAACATGAGCAATTGATTTGAGTGTGTACTCGACTATTTCTCCTTATTTTCTCCCCAAAACCTCGATCAAGTGAAACTCGTGGAGTAAGAAAACGTCTGCTTTCGCTCGATTGACGTCAATTTTGCCTTTTACTTGCAATCTTTTCTGTAACGTTCGGTTTCACTCCTACGGTCCCCTTTCTCTTCCACGCTCTTGCTTCCTTCGCTGTTATTCTGCTAATCTTTGTTGTGCCCAAATCACTCCCTTCAAACCTTGTCCCGCAGAGGCGTGTGGGACCAAGATCTGCGATCCCATGACTGGCTGTGTGAGGGATGCTGCAGGCGATGCATCCTGTGTGTGCAAGGCCGGCTATCAGAACAATACCAGCAACAAGTGTATTGGTATGTGTTTGTGGCATTCGCAAAAAAAACAAACAAACAAACAAAAATGGTTGTGTATTCTATCCTGCACCGGACAGGTCTCATCCTGTTTCTTCTGGTACTAGCACCTCTGTTGTTCACCTTAATGGATGCATCATGTGCTGCCTTACTGCTTGGCTTATTGTTTGTGGGCTGCTGGGTACTGCAATCTTTGTTACACCTTAAACAAGATATTGTCGCACAGCACTGCCGCTCTGTGCTTCTCCTGCTGCGTTGTACCGGCCTCTGTGTTTGCTTGATCTTCCTCTGTGACTCATCATATCAGTCTGCGAGGTTCCCTCGTTTCCTGTGCTGTTCTGTGCTCTGCCGTTGTGCATGGCTGTCTGTGCTCCATGCCGTAATGTGCCATGCTGTGCTGCTCCATGCCGTGATGTACTGGGCGGTGCCGTGCAGCTCTTCTTGTCTCACTTCCCCATCTTCCGAGGCCCCGCGGTCTGTGCTCCGACGTGCCATGCCATGCTGTGATGTGCCATGCCATGCTGTGATGTGCCATGCCATGCTGTGATGTGCCATGCCATGCTTTGATGTGCCATGCCATGCTGTGATGTGCCATGCCATTATGTTTTTCTTCTCACTCCCCCACCTCCCCAGGCCCCGCCACATGTGGGAGCTGCCCTGCAGGAGCCACGTGCACTGTTGCTTTCGGCTACATTCCATACTGCATCTGCCCTGCCGGCTATGGCATGACCAGCACTGGCTGCGTCAGCGCTAAGCACAGCACTATGTGCACCCCACCCCACGTCACACTTTTCCCCGGCAACCCGTCCACCATCTGCCCTACACCCCCCTGCTTCATCCTTCACACGTTGCCACACCCACCGTCTAATCTTCTTGCCCTTGCCCATACAGGCGCCACCCCCACCGTCTCCTCCACTAGCATCACCTTCTACGATCAGCCCAACTACACCATCACGCCCACCACCTTCACCACGCGCCTTGGCTTCAACGCCTGCACCACCCTCCCTGCCTCAGCTTTCTCAAGCATCTGATCGCTTCTGCGCATAGGCAAGGTTCCTGGAGGGCTGGGGGATTGCGTTTCTGTGTATCAATACAACCAGGAGGGGTGCGCTGGGCCGTACACCCCATGCGCCACTGCTACAGGTGGAACCGGCATGAGTGCCGTGGGTTACATGTGAGTCATACGTTGCAACCTGAAGCCTTCCTTGGGTGAAGGATATAGGATCCCAAATGGTTCACGCATGTATAAGATATGCACATGCACATGTGCCTTGCGCACATACAAGCATTGAGATTGCACCTTCACCCAAACGACACCAACAGGTATGTGATACTTGAAGTTTGTTCTTTCTCCAACTGTCACCTTCGTGTTCCCTCTCGTTCCTCCACTCCCCTTCCTCTCCCTTACATGCAACTTCCCCACCATTCACGTCTGCCAGTTTGGTTGTCACTCACTCTACGTGCGTCATCTTCTTTCTGTTTACCTTCTTGTATTGTTTCCCCCACTTCTGAGCAGGAAATATACTGCAAATCCTTACCGTTCCTTCATCTGCTTTCATTGAGTTTGTCAGCCAACTTTTGCGTACAGCAATTGAGCTGACAAGCAAATTTGCGCGTACCAACCTAATTTGCACCTGCATCACAATCGTCAACGACTCTCACCATGCCTTTCTGGAGGTGCATCCTGGGCCAATCTGTTGCTTGTTTTCATCAACATTCAATGAAAAAACGGGACAGTTGGCTGTTACGCAGACGTGCGTGCATGAAGGTCTGCTGAATACATAATGAAACAGAACCCTAAACCCTCTTACGTAACAACCAGACGAGAATAGCTTAAAAAGAAATCATCAACAACATGAACAACAACATGAACATCATCAACTACATGAACAACATCATAAACATCAACAACATAAACAGCAACACCAGCATAAACAGCAACACCAGCATAAACAGCAACACCAGCATAAACAGCAACACCAGCATAAACAGCAACAACATAAACAGCAACAACAACATTAGCAACAACATTAGCAACAACATTAGCAACAACATTAGCAACAACATTAGCAACAACATTAGCAACAACATTAGCAACAACATTAGCAACAACATTAGCAACAACATTAGCAACAACATTAGCAACAACATTAGCAACAACATAAACAACAACATAAACAACAACATAAACAACAACATAAACAACAACATAAACAACATCAACAACAACATCAACAACAACATCAACAACAACATCAACAACAACATCAACAACAACATCAACAACAACATCAACAACATCAACAACAACATCAACAACATCAACAACGACATCAACAACAACAACATCAACAACATCAACAACAACAACATCAACAACATCAACAACAACAACATCAACAACATCAACAACAACATCAACAACAACATCAACAACATCAACAACAACATCAACAACAACATAAAGAGCAACATCAACAACAACAAAACAGCAGTGATAGCGATAGCACCCTGCAACAACAACAACTGTCTGCCCGTAGTGCGTCTTTTTCTTTATTGCTTTGCAGTATGTCTCTTATTCTATCGTGAACTCAACCGACAACTCTCTCGACATTCTTGGCCTAGGCTCCTAAGCCTAGGCCCTAATTAAACCCTAGTTCCAAAGCTACGTCCATACGTTGACATGGTATGGAGCCGGTCGTTCCTCACATAAGCCCACCGCCCCTTGCCCTATTAGCCTGTCGCCTTGTCGCCCCGTCACCCCGTCGCCCCGTCACCCCGTCGCCTCGTCGCCCCGACGCCCCATCACCCCGTTCGTGCCGTGACGTGGCCCCTTGCGGGCCCTTCGTTCATACTGTAGCGCGGCCCCTCGCGGGCCCTTCGTTTGGACCGTAGCGCGGCCCCTTGCGGGCCCTTCGTTCGTACCGTAGCGCGCCCCCCCATGGGCCCTTCATTCGTACCGTAGTGCGGCCCCACACGGGCCCCATTCTTGCGCCAGCTTAAGGGCCACCGCGGGCCCCGTTTTCACGCTATTTAGGGGCCTCTGCGGTCCCCCCGTTTTCGCGCTGGTTACGCCCCTCCACAGGCCCCCCGTTTCTCGCTGGTTAAGGACCCCTGCGGGCCCTCGTTCTCGTTAGATACGGAACCGCGCGGGCCCTGCTGTCGCGCTAGCACAGGGCCTCCGCCCCCCCGCACCCAACCTTAGAGCCAGAATAGGCCTCAGTGGGCTCACCCGTCATGCTAGAACAGAGCCTCCCGCGGGTCGGCGGGAGGGGGGGGGGGGGGGGGGGGGGGGGTGGGGGGGAGGGTGAGGGGAAGGTACTGGACGCTCACCCCAGATTGTGTTGACGATGTGGTATCACGCGGAAACTGCCTGCTCAAGCTGCCCGTAAGCAAAGCACTACAACGTCGTTAC